CAGAGGAATCCTCTTTTCTGGTTTACTTCTGACCCTAAAACTAAGCCTTCAGGCATTACCTAGATAAAACACTGATCTCCTGGACACAGTCCTAGGCTTATCTACTGGCATTTGCCAGCTGCAGAGTTCTCCTAAACCTAATCATAGATCCGCATATACCCCCAACCTTCCTTCAACCCCAACTCCTGACTTGAAAACTTACAAGATTTAGGCCGGGCACGGTGGCTCACGCCTGTAATCCTAGCACTCTGGAAGGCTGAGGCGGGAGGATCATTTGAGCTCAGGAATTCAAGACCAGCCTGAGCAAGAGCGAGACCCCATGTCTACTAAAAAAAATAAAAAGAAAAGCTGGACAACTAAAAATATATAGAAAAAATTAGCCAGGCATGGTGGCGCATGCCTGTAGTCCCAGCTACTCGAGAGGCTGAGGCAGCAGGATTGCTTGAGCCCAGGAGTTTGAGGTTGCTGTGAGCTAGGCTGATACCACAGCACTATAGCCTGGGCAACAGAGTGAGACTCTGTCTCAAAAAACAAAAAAGAAAGAAAACTTCCAAGATTTCGCTTCTGTCTGCCTGGACTCTAATGTTCCCACATCATGTAGATACTCAACATATCCCATTTGTTACTTGGCTTCTACTGAGAACGATTCTCATTTGACTGATGTGCACAGGGATTTCAAAATTCTGCAATACACAGTATTAGAGTTCATTATACTTACTGGTTTTCTGTACACAGTTGTAAACTAATAATGAGCAAAACACAGTGTTTAAGATCATGGATGCTGCAGCTGGACTGCCTACTTTACAATCTCGGCTCTGTAATGTTGTGACCTTGAACAAGTTATTCAACCTCTCTGTGACAAAGTTTACTTATCTGAGAAAAGGGGATAATAACATGCCTTACTTTAGGGTTGTTATGGAGCTTAGATGGGTTAACATCTGTAAAGCACTTGGAACAGTCTGCCACATAGTTAGGGGTATGTAAGTGTTCGTTACATAATAATAGTTACCATTTGTGGAGCACTTAGCTGTCTTTGAGGCACAGAACATGTTACTTTCAACCCCTTAAAATGCAAGGTAGAGAAATTATAATATTAATATTTACAGTAGTGTGTGAGAGCTGGCTGGTACTTGCTTATGATAGCTAAATGTTAAATTTTCAGAAGGTTTGCAAGTCAGTTTTAAACAGAGCCGTTACTAAAAAGCATATAAATTTACAATCGAATAAATTATGTTAAAAACAAATGTCACTGGGATAGCCTGACAAAGCAGATGAAAAAACTTTAACACTTTTTTGTTTGTTTGTTTTTAACAATTCTTTTTAGTATTTATCATTTAGAAGCAGCTGTTCAAGGACACCAGGTGGCTCAAATGTTATAAACAGCCATGTGACCTCTCTTGCCTGATGTCAGAAGTCTAGACCTGCAGAAAGCCAGGGCAAACCCCAGCAGCAATCTTTATTATCTTTAAATGATTTAAAAACCACTCTCTCGAGAATCGATGAAATTTTCTATACATGTAATATATAAGAAACATGTATGTGAACTATGTCTGTGCATCTTAACTCTACCCTGTATCTGTTTACATACTTCCTCTGTCCCATATCTTTTAAAAAACCCCCACATCTCCCTTTGCTTGGGGAGAAGGTGCCTTTAGAGCACGAGCTCACCCTTCTCCATTCTTTGGCCAAAGAATAAGAAAAAACTTGAATGCCTTACCAACTGGATGTTTTTTCTTTATAGCTGATATAGAGAAAGAACAGTTTTCGGTAAGACAAAGACAATAAATATTCAAATTTCATCACTTCCTAAGTGTTTCACTACATTTTATTACTATCTATGCCCTTGTGGTTATTTATCTTTATTGTATCTGTATGGTGGTATTAAGGACAGATGCAGGCTGGCAGCATTAGCCACAGGAAAATAAGAGGGGGGCAGAAATGAGGAGGCCACTGAGCATTTAGAACCAAACCCGCAACAGCAGGAACTTGAGGTTAGGGACTTTTCCCAGCCAGAAATATGCACAGAAACTACGAGCTCATATCCAAAGCTAACATTTTCCTCATTATACATTAGCATAGTAAAAATCACACCCACTAGCACCATGACAGTTTACAAATGTCATGGCAACCCCTGTAAGTTACCCTATAAGGATAAAATTGGGGAGGCCCCTTAGCTCTCAGAACTCTCCATCCTTTTCCCAGGAAAATAAAGACTATTACACTTACCATTTAGCATATCATAAGGTGTAGACATAAAACTAGAAGTGTGGTAAAACCTCAGGGCCTTCCCCACTCCCAGAGACAGAGCCACTTCCCCTCAGGAAATGTACTTTCACTTTGTATACTGAAAAGCCTGCAATAAAAGCTGTTTGTGTAGAAGTGCTACGTGTCTGGCATCACTTCGTTGCACTGCTCCTGCTTGCAATTTTTCCAAACAAGGAGCCAAAGAACCAGGACAACACCCCTCAAAAATCAACCCTGACGGTGGAAATAATGGTCTGATACTGTGCATTTCTTCCTAACTCTGCATTTGGTGACATCCATATCTATAGCTTGAAATCTGCGATGTGGAGTATTTATACCACAGGAGTTGGCAATCACTACAAATCAGGGCTTTCTTCCATTGCACACCACTGGACATTATATCCCTTCTTTTAAGATGATGAAATTGAGAAATAGAGAGGTAAATGATTTGCCTAGGGTCACACATCTAGGAAGTGGTAAAGCTGGGATTCAAACAACAGGTTTTTCTTTGCTTACTTGCTTTTTAAAAGAAAAATTGTTTCCAAAGCCCACATGCTTTCCATTCAACCACCTTTCCCTGAATATAGGAATACCCAAGCTAGGTAGGCCTCAGACACAGAAACAGAAAAGTTATCCCTTCTCTTCCCCTCCATCTTCCCTACCCTTAATGTACACACACAACCCCTAGCCTACCCTCTCCTGTGCTGAGCTGTGCTCATTCCTTTCTAGTCCCATTATCCCAACCCATTTGATAATCCCATTACTGCCTTGCCTGTGGTCCTTTTTTGGCCATTATTCCTTCTTCCCAGAATCTCCTTTCTTTTGTTCAAGGTTAAGATTAAACCCATTCTTTCTAATACTGCTGCCTGTTTTCTATTTTCCTTGTTTGAGGAGGCTTGACACCATAGTTAAGATTCCTCTCAGAGGACTGAAGAATATTTAAAATAAAATAAGATTCCTCAAATAATCAATTTCCTTAAACTTTTGGATAATGTAAACATCCATACAGAGAACTATACGTACATATCAGAAGTGTACAACTCAGATCATTTTCACAAATTCAACACACCCGCATACCAGCACTCAGATCAAGAAGCCTCCTCATACTCCTTCCAGTTCTACCCTCCCAAGGGTAACCACTAATCTGGCTTCTAAAAGTCATGTGACTGTTTTAATATTGGCATATCTAGGACTGGTTTGGGCCGGGTACTCTATGCAGTATTATCATCTGCTCCCTTTTGGCATGAGGGTAGTATCATGACTCTTCTTTGGTCAATTATCTTATTTCCCACTCCTGTGGACTAATGACAAGAGACTTAAATTCTGATCCCAGCACAACCACTTAATAACCCCGTGACCCTGGAACATCTATTATATTTCTTCTCTCTGAGCCTCAGCAATCCACTCTCTGAAACACTCACAACATAATCCATTTGCAGTATTGCTATGAGGACTAAATGAAATATCACTCTCAAAGCACCTAGTACAGTGTGCCTGGTATGTAATAATGTAGTAGCCAACTGTTTCTGACTTTATTGTGTGCAGGCACACCATGAGGGCTTTATGTATGTTATCTCATTTATAACTCTGTCCAAATTTGATTTTCTCATCTGCACCCAGTCTTTCACCTCTCAGTCAAGGGCATCACTATTTACCTAAATCTAGGTATTTTCCTTGATTCCTGTTTTTTCCACACTCCACTCATCTAATTCATCAGCAGATTTTGCCAACTCTAAAAGAAAACTCAAATCACGCAGTTCTCTCAATTTCCACTACCACTACCCAATTTAAGCCACTACTATCCTTCACTGTATCTCCACGAGAATATAAGTTACATGGGAACAGGCTCCATGTATTATTGATCACAGCTGTAGCCCCAGCACTCAGAACAGTGCCTGGCCCTTAGTAGGCTTCTGCTAATTATGACTTGAATGAATGCATGTGGCAACAAACCTTTGTAATGACTATTATTATTACCCTCATTTTATAGATGAGGAAACAGGCTCCCAGGGGTTAACTAACTTACCCAAAGTCACACAACAATTAGCAAAACCAGAACTCACATCCAGGTAGTCTAACTCTAGAGCCTGCTTGCTTACCCTCTATGCTGTGGTATTGACCTGCACTGGCTTATGGTGAGGTCAGTTATGAAGGGTTTTTTGTGTAATAATAAAAATTTTTGTTGAAATTCTCCAACCTAAAAACTTTTCTTCAAGTTTTCCTGAGAATAAAGTTCACGCGCCTCTTCACACAGCCTCTTAGGTACAGCGTGCAAGTGGACCCGCGAAGTCGAAACCCATGGTGTTCAACAGTCAACCGTGTAGATAGGGTCTGGTACTGTCCGTGGCTTCAGGTATCTGTTAGAGGCTCTTAAAACGTATCCTCTCCCACCCCGCGGATAAGAGGGGATTACTGTCTTTCTGTCTTTATTGTCCACTACTGTGCCCCCAGTGCCTAAGAAACGCCTGGAATACAATAGGTACGTAATGAATATTTGCTGAATAAAGAAAGGTATCAAAGGGCAAGGATTAGTTTATCGATTTACAGGTGGAAAGGCTGTGGCTCCTACAGGTGAGGTGTTTCGTCCGGATCAGTCGATAAGTGGCAGAGGTGAAATTTGAAACCTTGCCTCCAACTACTCTCCCTGACCTAGCCGGTCCTCCCAGCCCCTCCCTTCCGCAGTTCCTACTAGCTCCACCTACTGCAGCTTGCGCCGTCTCCGTGACTAGTTTGACCCTCGGACGGCCGCCGTAACGCGTTGCCTCCGTTGCCGTGGGAAACGACCCCGGACGTGGGAGGGAGCAAAGACGTTTCCCGCCGGCGGGAGCTGCGGCTGTGGCTGAGAGAGGGGCTCAGAGGCGGCGGGTTCCAGCGCTGCAGCACCATGGCGGACCAGCTTTATTTGGAAAATATAGACGAGTTCGTCACGGACCAAAACAAGATCGTGAGGAGATATGACTGGGAAACGCGGGCGTGTGACTGGGGTGCTGGGCCTGGCTAGGGCGGCGGGGGCCTTGACCCCTCTGCTTGTGGCCCCGTGGGAACTGGCCAGAGGGAGACAGGTCCCCATGCCTCGTGCCCTAGGGCGAGCGAGGACCCGCCGCGGAGGTCCTCTGACACGCGCGCAAGGCCGCGTCCCTTGGGTGGGCGTGCTGAGAACAGTGCCCGGGGAGGGAGGGGCGTTGGTCGAGAGTATTTGTAAGGCGTCCCTACACCTATCTTATAAGGTGGTTGGCGTTTAAAGCTCTAAGTTTACAGCTGAGGAAATTGTGTCGTATCGCGGTTAAGCGACAAGCTGTTTAACCTCCCAGACACACTGTTTCCTCTCCCTGGAAATATAAGCATTGATAGAGGCTTGACCCGCCTCACAGGGGCGGTGTAAGATGAAGCGAGGCGATGGATGCGAGTGCACTTTGCAAGCCGTGATGATTGAGTGCTTGCTATGTGCTAAGGCATTTTGGATACATATTATTGCATTTAATCTTTACGGTGACCCCCGCCCCCGACACACCCCGCTGCGGTCGGTGGTAATATCCCTAGAAGAGGAAATTGAAGCAGAGGGGCCAAATAATTTGTTTATTTGCTGTCAGTAAGAGATAGGCAGTTTTCGAACGTAGGTCTGCCCTTCCACTAGTGCTTTCTGCTACATTACACTGTCTTTGTCTAATCTATGTAAGTCTTCTAATGACTGGAAGCTGAGAATTTAGAATTGGAAGAGACTTTGAGAGATGAGAGTCACAGGCATACTGGGTGAAGGAAGGATGAAGGCTTGTTACCTGTAGTTCCCAGTCTAATCTCTGATAAACATGCACTTTATTCATTCTTTTCCTCACCCTTGTACCACCTGTTTGTATGGCTGCAGCTTTCATTAGAAGTTTTTGAGTCATACACTTCAAAATTATCTAGCTTTTGGGTGAGTTTTAGGATAGCTTTGGGTGGTGGCCCCCCAAAAAAGACAACATGTGAAGAAAGGGCCTAAGTAAAACAAGGAATGTGAGCAATATGAGAGCTTTCTCTGTTATATATATTCAGCCTGCTGTTTTAGATTCTTTTCATTAATCAGTCTGTGAAACAAACTTATTAGCATTTGTAAGATAAATAACTTGGTCCCGCCTGCTCAGAAAGATAGTTCTTGGCAAAACTGTGGTGGCATCTATTGTAGTTTATAAGGCATAATCATCTAGAATAGGAATCTTTAGGAGGAGGCCCTTTCAACTAATCTGCACTCTGGAGTCATCTAATAAAACATTTTTAAAATTCCTTCTTGCAGGTGACATACAAATGGCTGAGCTATACACTAGGGGTTCATGTAAACCAGGCCAAACAGTAAGTCCAATTTACTACCACTTTTAATCATATTGGAGTTTTTTGTTTTTTGCTCTGCTTTGTTTTTGACTGTACAGCTAGCCTCTAGATTAGAACTAATTTTCTATTTTCTGGGTAACTGTGAAAGAATACTATTTTTACTATCTTTTACTACTTTGTGTCTCTTTTAGGAGATTGGTGGACTTGTACACAAGTGTGTGATGATAAATTTACTGGATTTATTTGCAGCCTTCGTCTCTGGTTAACATCGCTTTGTTATTTCAGATTGATTAAATGGGCTAGCTTAGTTCTGTTTACATCTCTGATTTATGTTTGTTTTGTACATCTTCACTACATTTTCACATATGCTCCTTAGACCCATCTCTGGGTATTATTGAAATACTTTCAAAATGAGGTCAACAGGTGTTTGACACAGCTGTATGACAGTACAAGACAGGGAGAACTATTTAAGTGAAACTAAAAAGAGAGTGTTTAGGATGGTGCAGTTCATTGCCCTTCTTGAATTTTGCTTTTTCACCTTTTCTTGGTGAAACTTGTGGTCCAACTTGAGGCCAAAAGGGACAAGGCAAGCTTTCAATTAACTTTAGAATTTTTTGACCTGCAAAGGTACAGATATTGTCTATGTCCCAAAGGGAGGAATTGGTGAACAGGCTGAGGACACATATATTGGGTTAAATGCTCATTTAGTTTGTTTTATTCTTAAGGGTGGTCTGATTTTTCTCTATTTCTTGAGTCATAGGAACTTTCTTTGAGTCGTAAGAATGCTCCATAGGTCTTAGAAAGTCCCTGATCTCTGGAATGGGTTGATCTGGTTTTATCTGTGTTATTGTTAGATAGGTCTAGGAGTCTGATTTTGGCTGTGATATTTAAGCTTTCAAGACCTAAAACTCTTAGCCCAGGGATGGATTTGGACTGGTTTTAATTATCTGAGATTGTCCAAGACCAGTCCTGGCCCAAACCCAGGTAACTCTGAGAATGGACACCTATATAAGAGTTATGGTTTGTTGTGGTTATGGATATTTAAATAGGAAATGAAGCAACTGTTAGTATATAAGCTTGTTGGGGTTAAAGAAGCATGTTGAGGATTGGAGTTCCCTAAAGGTGAAATAAAGATGCCTGCAATTTTACAGTGGCTACCCTGATTACCTATTGTTTTGTTTTGATTTTGTTTGTTTTTTTTTCTTTTTTTGAGACAGAGTCTTATTCTATTGCCCTGGCTAGAGTGCTGTGGCATCAGCCTAGCTCACAGTGACCTCAAACTCCTGGGCTCAAGTGATCCTCCTGCTTCAGCCTCCCGAGTAGCTGGGACTACAGGTGCTGACAACCACTCCTGGCTAATTTTTTGTTTCTATTTTTAGTTGCCTGGCTAATATTTTCTATTTTTAGTAGAGATAGGGTCTCACTCTTGCTCAGGCTGGTCTCCAACTCCTGACCTCAAGCCATTCTCCCACCTTAGCCTCCCAGAGAGCTAGGGTTACAGGCATGAGCCACCATGCCCGGCTGTTTTTTTTTTTTTTTTTTGAGACAGGGTCTCGCTCTGTTGCTCAGGCTGAAGTGCAGTGCTGCAGTCATAGCTAACTGTAACCTTGAGCTCCTGGGCTCAAGTGATCTTCCTGCCTCAGCCTTCTGTGTAGCTAGGACAGCCACCACAGCCCAGCAAAATTTTTTTTGTGTGTTTTGTAGAAATGGGGGTCTCACTATGTTGCCCAGGCTGGTCTTAAGCTCCTAGGCTCAAGCAATGCTCTTGCCTTGGCCTCCCAAAGTGCTGGAATTAGAGGTGTGAGCCACCATGCCCATCTGCCTATAATTTTTATAGCATTAACACACTGTCTAGCTCCTTCCCATCTAGTCAACTTCATCCCATCTCACTCTCTACCTCACTTATTATAGTCTAGCCATATTTGCTTTTCTCTTCTTCAAATATGTGAAACTCATTTTCACTCTAGGATCTTTGTACCCTCTGCCTGGAATGCCCTTCTAGCTGTCCTTATCCTTCAGGTTTCAGCTCACATGTTACATGTTACTTCTTAAAAGGAGCCTTGCCTAATCCTCTGTTTCAACTATCTCCACCCCTCCCTAACTCTTTGTCATATCATTCTATTAATTTCTTTCATAATTCTTTTTAAAAAAGGATATTTTGATATATAATTCATATGTCATATAATTTACCCATATAAAGTGTACAATTCAGTGGTTCCTAGAATTGTGCTATTATCACCACAATCAATTTTAGAACATTTTCATCACCCTAAAAAGAAATCAGTTACCCATTGTTAGTCACTCACCATCCCTCCCCAACTCCTACCCCCTCAAGCCTGACAACCTTTAATCTTTCCGTCTGTAGATTTGCCTATTCTGGAGATTTCATGTAAATGGAGTCATATATAGTCTCGTATGTCTGATTTCTTTCTTTCCCTTAGCATAATGTTTTCAGGGTTTGTCCATGTTACAGCATATATCAGTACTTAATTTCTTTTTATGGCTAAATAATATTTCATTATATGGTGTATTAGTTTCCTAGGGCTGCCATAACAAAGTGCTACAAATTAGGTGGCTGAAAACAATAGAAATTTATTGTCTCACAGTTCTGGATGCTAAAAATCTGAAATCAGGTTTTTTGGCAGGGTCATGGTCTCTCTGAAACCTATGGGAAAGTATCCTTCCTTACCTCTTCCCACCTTCTCGTGGTTTGCTGGCAGTCTTTGGCATTTCTTGACTTATAGCTGCGTAACTGCAGTCTCCGCCTTCATCATCACATGGCATTCTCCCTGTGTATATCTTCACATAGCTGTCTTATAAGGATACCACTCATTGGATCAGGAGCCCACCCTAATCCGATATGATCCTGTCTTAACTAATTACATCTGCAAAAACCCTATTTCCAAATAAGGCCACATTTTAAGGTATTGGGGGTTTGGACTTCAACGTATCTTTTTTGGGAGACACAGTTCATCCCGTCATATGGATATACCAAATTTTGTTTATCTATTCATCAGTTAATTGATCAACGTTTGGGTTGTTTCCACGTTTTGACTGTTATGAATGGTGCTGTTATGAACATCTGTGTACAAGTGTTTGTAAACAGATGTACACATGTTTTCAGTTCTCCTGGGTATATATAGGATTGGAATTGCTAGGTCATATGGTAATTCTATATTTAAAATTTTGAGAAACTGAAGAACTATTTTTCAAAATGGTTGCACTATCTTACCATCCCAATAATGTATGAGGATTCCAATTTCTCTACACTCTTATCAACACTTTTTGTTATGTCTTTTATTTTAGCCATCCTAGTGGATGTGATGTGATACCTCATAATGTTTTGATTTGCATTTCCCTAATGACTAACGATGTTGAACATCTTTTTATATGCTTAATGACCATCATATAACTTCTTTGGAGAAATAGCTGTTTAAAACTTTTCCCATTTTTTTTCGTTGGGTTGACTTTTTACTGTTGAGTTTTAAGAGTTCATTATGTATTCTGAATATTAGACCCTGGTTAGATACACGATTTGCAAAAATTTTCTCCCATTTTGTGTGTTGTCTTTGTACTTCTTGATGGTGTCCTTTGAAGCATGAAAGTTTTTATTGTTGATGAAATCCAATTTATTTTTTCTTTTGTTGCATATGGTTTTTTAAATTTAAATTTTTATTTTACAAAGGATTTTTTTTAAATTGACAGATAAATTGTATGTATTGTATAACAGCATGATGTTTTAAAGTATATATACATTGTGGAATAGTTAAATCTAGCTAATTGATAAATGCATTAGCTCATATAGTTATTTTTGTGGTGAGAACACTTAACATCCACTATCTTTGTATTTTTCAAGAATACAATGTATCATCATTAACTATAGTCATCATGCTGTACAATAGATCTCTTGAATTTATTCCTATCTAACTGTAATTATATATCCTTTGACCAACATATCTCCACCCTCATCCCCTCTCCCTCCTAACTACCCTAGCTTCTTATAACCATGGTTCTATTCTCTACTTCTATGAAACCAACTTCATTAGACTCCACATATAATTGAGATCATGTGGTATTTGTCTTTCTGGGCCTGGCTTATTTCACTTAACATAATCTCCTCCTAGTTTATCCATATTGTCACAAATGACAGGATTTCATTCTTTTTTTTTTTTGGCAGAATAGTATTCCACTGTGTGTGTGTGTGTATACACTAACATTTTCTTTATCCATTCATCTGTGATAGACACTTAGGTTGATTCCATATCTTGGCTATCATAAATAGTGCTGCAGTAAACGTGGGAGTGCATATATCTCTTTGATGACTGATTTTATCTCCTTTGGATATGTACCCAATAGTGGGATTGCCGGGTTATTTGGTAGTTCTAATTTTAATATTTTGAGGAACTTTCATACTGTTTACATAATGGATGTATTAATTTACATTCCCATCAACTGTGTAAAGGTTCCCTTTTCTCCACATCCTCACCTTGTTTTCTTTTTGGTATGTTGCTTTTGCTTTTGATGTAGTATCTATGAAGGTTTTGCCTAACCTAGGTCATGAAGATTTACTCCTGTGTTTTTTCCTAAGAGTTTTGTAGTTTTTGCTCTTACATTTAACTCTGTGGTCCATTTGGAGTTTTTTTAAATTTATCATTCCTAATTGTCACTATTTTTAAGTTTTCTGCAGATCATGTGCTTGTTAATATTAAAAATGCTTCAGTCCTAACAGTAAGAATACCCTGAAGCTTTCATATTAGGTATTAGTTCAAGGTAATTTTTAAATGAAGCACTAAAATGTGTTAATATTTATATTTATATAATATAATGTTGACAATGTCTTCTAGAAACCATTTGGAGTTACTTTTTTGTGTATGTCATAAGGAAAGGGTCCAACTTCATTCTTTTGCATGTGGGTATACAGTTATCCCAGCATGTTGTAATTCTTATTACTGTCTTGACATTTTCTTGATTATTGTATGTCTTTCCTACTAGAATATAAGCTCCATGAAGGCAGGAAACTT